CCGTACTGGGTCAGACCAAAGGTCCATCTAGCCCAGTAGCCTGTCTGCCGACAGCAGCCAGCACCAGGTGCCCCAGAGGGGGTGGACTGAAGACAATGATCAAGTGATTTGTCTCCTGCCATCCCTCTCCAGCCTCTGACAAACAGAGGCCAGGGACACCATTTCTATCCCCTGGCTTTTATGGATCTAACCTCCATGAAATTATCTAGCTTCTCTTTAAACTCTGTTATAGTCCTAGCCTTCACAGCCTCCTCTGGCAAGGAGTTCCACAGGTTGACTACACGCTGTGTGAAGAAGAACTTTCTTTTATTAGTTTTAAACCTGCTACCCATTAATTCCATTTGGTGTCCTCTAGTTCTTCTATTATGGGAACTAATAAATAACTTGTCTTTATCCATCCTCTCCACACCACTCATGATTTTATAGACCTCTATCATATCCCCCCTCAGTCTCCTCTTTTCTAAACTGAAAAGTCCCAGTCGTTTTAGCCTCTCTTCATATGGGACCTGTTCCAAACCCCTCATCATTTTAGTTGCCCTTTTCTGAACCCTTTCCAAGGCCAAAATATCTTTTTTGAGGTGAGGAGACTACATCTGTACACTTCATTTGAGACCCAGCACGTCCTAGGATTGCGGTAAATGCAGGGAGAGCGAAAATACGGTTGCCCACGCTTGCAGTTGGGTGGGGATACAGAAAAGTATGGAACCCCAGGGCTGGCAGAGACCTCAGGAGGCATCAAGTCCAGCCCCCTGCCCAAAGCAGGACCAACCCCAACTCCATCATCCTAGCCAGGGCTTTGTAAAGCCAGAACTTAAAAAAGTAAGTCTGCACTAAATTGTTCCAAAGAAAAGGGCTCCCAGTTAGCAGAAAGAATCGTGCAAATATAGGGGCTCGACTTTCAGAGCCCTCTGCAGAGAAGGGGGTAAGGGAAGGATATTTTGGTCTGGAGGCCGTATGGTCTTCCCTGCCTTGATTGTTCTTTGAGGAGGTGGGGGAGGGAAGACAATGGTCAAACCAGAGCTAAATAGTGATAGAAATGTAGCCGTGTTAGTCTGGGGTAGCTGAAGCAAAATGCAGGACAATGTAGCACTTTAAAGACTAACAAGATGGTTTATTAGATGATGAGCTTTCCTGGGCCAGACCCACTTCCTCAGATCAAATAGTGGAAGAAAATAGTCACAACCATATATACCAAAGGATACAATTAAAAAAAATGAACACATATGAAAAGGACAAATCAAATTTCAGAACAGAAGGGGGTCAAGTACCCTAACAGTTGAAATTCTCATAGACAGCTTTATGAGAAATTTGACCTTTGTCCAGGACAAAAAGAGGAAAAACAGTGAATGTTGCTATCATGTAAAATTCATGTGGAAGTTAGCTCTTCTTTTGGGGATCATTCAGTGTCCTGCTTCACAGGAACCTTTGTAAGCACTGGAAATTCTATGCTTATTTCGTACCACCAGACAAATGATATTCTCTTTGGGATCATACCCATCTACACATCCGAGGGCTTCACTTTGAACATGCAAAATTACTTCACAGCAGTGCACTTCACAAAACTGTAAAATCACCATCTCTCCCTTCATAAGGCTATGTCTACACTACAAAGAAAAGTTGGAAAAAGATATGCAAATTGCAAACTGCAATTTGCGGATCTTTTTCCACTTTTCTTTCAAAAGAGGCTTTTCCAAAATTTGGCACGTCTACATGGCACCAGATTTTGGAAAAACCTGCTCTTTTGACACATCCCGTCTTCCTTGTAAAATGAGGTTTACAGGGATGGCGAAAGATCATGTCCACTTTTCCAATTTTTTTTTTTTTGGAAAAGCGGATGCATTCTTTGGATGCGGCACAGCTTTTCAGAACTGCAGTCTAGATGTAGCCTAACTTTCAAATCACAGGGATGACTGGAAAGCTAATTTGGAAAAATATTTAAAATGGTATGAAAGCTGAAGTGGAATGCTGCTCAGTTAGACAAAAGAAGAGTCACAGTGTGAAAGACTTTTGTTTTATTTTTCTTATTGGACTTGGTAACATGTAGAGTTATGGTGCTTTGAATCTTTTTAGTTGCATGTAAATTACAAAAACAATTAGCAAATAGTTTATATGTTAACCAAGGAGCAGAGTATGCAGTCAGATGCAGTATGTGTTGTGCCACAATATTTTCTTTGGTTTATTGATTTCTTCATTTGTCTGTATCTTTTCTGTTATTAGATGTACACTGAAAGTATATATAAGCTATAGGAAATGAAGTAAATGAAATCACATTATGCTATTCAAACAGTGTCTCACACTGTTATAAACAAAGGAACACCAAGTTATTTCATTACTTTCATCTCCTTGTAATGGAGGTATGTGTTTTTATTCATATCATTCCTGAAAAAGCAACAAAGCACCATTATTAGGACAATAACAGTAAACAAGTTAAAAATAAAAAGCATTAGAACTTGGTTTATGTTCCCATGGGGCAGCGGGGGGCGCCAGAGAGCGGCGAGCAAGCAGCTGGCGAGTGACCAATGGGCAGCAGGGGGCGCCAGAGAGCAGCGAGCAGGCAGCTGGTGAGTGACCAATGGCCAGCAGGGGGCACCAGAGAGCAGCGAGCAGGCAGCTGGCAGTGACCAATGGGAAGCAGGGGGCACCAGTGAGCAGGTGGCTGGCAGTGACCAATGGGAGGCAGGGGGCACCAGAGAGCAGCGAGCAGGCAGCTGGCAGTGACCAATGGGAAGCAGGGGGCACCAGTGAGCAGGTGGCTGGCAGTGACCAATGGGAGGCAGGGGGCACCAGAGAGCAGCGAGCAGGCGGCTGGCAGTGACCAATGGGAAGCAGGGGGCGCCAGAGAGCAGCAAGCAGGCAGCTGGCCAGTGACCAGCAGAGGGAGTACGATGCCTCTTTACCCCCCCTTCAGGCTGGGAGGTGAACTCTGCGTTTGCACCTCTGAACTCTGGTCTGCCCTGAGCAACGGCAGCAACTGGGAGTGGGCTACAGAGAAGGGCTGGGAATGTGAAGGGACATTTACGTTGTTAGGCTTAAAAGAACCGGAAAGGAAAAGGACACCACCCGGCCCACTTGAAGTGAGACATTCACTTGTGGTTTATGTTTAGGAGGCCTTGTCTGTGGTGTTTTCCCAAATTAACGTCACGTTCCTTCCCTCCCCTCTTAGGAAAAGTTTCTTTTCCGCACTCTGACTCTGCATGCGGGAGGGGAAGTTTTGCCTCCCAGGGGTGTGAGAATTTCCCAGGTCACTGAGTGGGGGCTGGAGCTGGTTCAGTGTTGGATGGCTGGAGAGGAAGCCCTAGATATCGAACCCGGCCCTGGCTGCTGCTAGCTCTGCCTGCCATAAGAGTTACATATAGTTACAGTTATCAGGCCCTAGCCCAGTGGTTCTCAAACTGTGGGGTGCGCCCCCTCTAAAAGGGATGCAATAGAGTATTGGGGGGCAGCTCCTATGTGAAGTGAGGAAGGGGTGTCACCCAACCCCCATCTAACCCCATATGAACCTGCAGCCCCGGCCTCTACTGGCTCCCACCCCAGCTCTGCTCCTGGTCACAACTTCCAGTGGGGCACAAAGCAGGAAAGGGGGGCTGACCAAAAACCATTGGGGACCCCAGTATAGTCCCAGCCAGCATTGTCTGGCCAAGCTCCTTTGATTGATGCCAGCTGGAGCCAAAGTCACAATCATGGGTCTTTGGTCTGACACAGCCTGAGTCACATGATCTCCAAGGAGTGTAGCAAAGTGTGTAATTTACAAGTGTGTGTGTGTGCGCGCGTGCGCGTGTTACTGGAAGGGGAGGTGCATTTGAATGTATAATGTAGCCAACTCCTTGCAGGGCGGGGGTAGATGACATCAGACTGTAGCACTTAAAGCATAATATTTTCAATTTATTGCAGGGGGCTGGAGCGTTATGCAGGGGCACCCCTCTCCCGGCAGCACCCAAGAGGGGGTTTCTAAGGAAGTTCAGAGGGAACGGCACCCACAAATCTCGGTTTGGCTAGCTGCCTCAGCGGAGGAGCCATGGCCGATCTACAGCAGCCGGGGAGCTGGTCACATTGAGGTTCACTTTTACCACTGAATCACGCTCTAAGGTCACATTGAGGTACATTTTTATCACTGGAACCTCGCTCTAAGAGAAATTACGAGCGAGCTTTGGCGCCCTCTGCTGCCTGCACCACAGCAGAGAGTCCATATGGTAGATGATGCACACACACACATCTGGATGTGTTAAATACAGGCCCGTATACAGAGGTGGGGAGGGGAGGGGAACGGGGGAGGAGTGTGAAAGGTGCAAATGCACCCTCTTATGGGGTTCCTGTGTTGATCTCTCCCATGGCCTGATGGGGGTACCAGACCCTTGGCCGCTTTTCTCCCTTTGCCCAGTTCAACGGGGGAGCAACCTGGCGGGGAGCAGTGGCTCAGCCCAGGTGGGATGGACCCAACTATTGCCGGGGGACCACCAGGGAGCTATGGCTGCAGACATAGGCCCACTGCGGAGATGGGAGACCTTCCCTCCTGCCCCATGTGCATCCCCTGGTCCTGCCAGCAGACGGACCCACCCTGGCTTCTCATCTTGCAGCTGCTCCTGCCTACCCCAAGTAGGCTGGAGACTCTCTGCCCGGTTCGCATGTGGGGCATGCAGGCTGGGGGGCCCTGGCTGTGTGTGTCTCCCTCTCTCCAGGGGTGGCGACCAGGTGCCCTAAAACTGGCTCCTTTTAGGTTTAAGCCGGTGGAGGGTTTTGTCCCGTTGTCCTAGAGCTGCCCCATAATCCCCCCATTTTGGATTTTCTGTGGTTTGGCCATCTTTTGTACTACAGTGGAGCAGCAACCGTCAACCTGTTATAGTTGAAAGTTAAAAGACTTCTGCTCTCCTCGGGCAAAGCACCCCCAGTCTGTCGTGTCGAGGCAGTCCGCTTTCAGAAGCAGGTGCGCTGGGTAGTCTGCCCTGAGGGGTGTGGGTGGGGAGCCCAGCCTCTCCTCCAGTTTCTCACTGTCACTGCAAGCATGGCTGTCGGCTTCTCATACTCCTAGGCTGTGTCTACACTGGCCACTTATTTCAGAAAATCAGCCGCTTTTCCGGAAAAACTTGCCAGCTGTCTACACCGGCCGCTTGAATTTCCGCAAAAGCACCGACGATCTCATGTAAAATCATCAGTGCTTCTCCGGAAAAACTATGCTGCTCCCGTTCAGGCAAAAGTCCTTTTCCGGAAAACTGTTCTGGAAAAGGGCCAGGGTAGACAGCAGAGATTTCTTTTCCGCAAAAAAGCCCTGATCGTGAAAATGACGATCGGGGCTTTTTTGCGGAAAAACGCATCTACATTGGCACGGACGCTTTTCCGCAAAAGGTGCCAGACTGTGCGCCAGTAAGACCCAGAGTGTATACAATTGTGTCTGCTGCTGGTGTAGATGTAGTTTTTCTGCTCTAGAGGCAAAGAGATGGTGAAGTGCTGTGCTAGAGGAAGAAGGCAGAATTGAGACCTTTCAAAGTTTTGGCCCAAACGAAGGGGCATGAGGGCATCATTTGAGCTCCCCGCCTCAGGGTGCCAAAATGTTATAGGCCGGCCCTGGACCACACGACAGTTATGAACGAAAGGACAACGCTGTGTGTAAAAGCAGCAGAAAGGAGGTTTCTCCACAGGGTGGCTGGGTTCCTCGCGGAGAGGAGCGTGGCTCTTGGGGAAACCCTCGGAGAAAAGCTCCTACACCTCCGGATCCAAAGAAGCTAGCTGAGGGGGTTCAGGCACCTCATAAAAGTGCCCCAAATATGTGTAGGCTTCCTTTGGCAATCCCCATGGACAACCCAGAGCATGCTGGATGGACTGTATCTCCTGGCTGGCCTTGGAATGCTTGGGCGTCCCCCAGGAGTTGGAGCCTGTTGCGGAGAAAAGGGTGTTTCTAGCTTATTTGGTGATGAAGACACTCTGCTGAATCAAACAGAGCTTGAAATGAAGACCCAGCAAAGAGCCCAATTTATGGAATGGATGGGTTAACTCTGGAACCTAATGATGACACTAAACTCTTCCTTCTTTCTTTTTCCTCTGCCACTTCCTAGTGAGGGTCATGGACACAGCATGGAGAGTAAGGAGGACCAGGCCGGGCTGCCAACATACTACAGCAGACCCTTGGGCAAGGGGAATGTGTGTGGCGGTGGGTGGTCCCAGAAATGCCCCAAGGAGGATGGAGGGGAAGGGAGCAGCTGCCCCACGACCTGGCCATTTAAAAGGGCCCGGAGCGCTCGTCCAACAGTACTGCAGCAGCCCCCGGCCCTTTAAATCACCGCTGGAGGCCAG